TTGAGGTTCATTTATTACACTTCTATTTTGTTTCTATTTATTAACTTCTACATTTATTCTAAATTTTAATTTTTATAGACACACAAATTGGAATTATTACTTGAATTAATAATAATTATTATGTTTCATCCTCGAATGTAATCAGTAATTAATGGTTATAATTACGTGATGAATAATCACAATCAATGAATAACAGGAATAATTAAGGATTATTTTAATAATTTCTATAATATTTATTAATTATTATTTGATAAATATGATCATATAATTATTACATAATTAATAATTATTTTAGTTTACATTAATGATTGACTTCAAAATCAATTGATCAATTATTAATCGACAAATTTAATTGGCTCACTTATAGGAATTGCGTTTGCAAAAAAGAATTGTAATTTGTTATTTATGTGTAAAGTTTTTATTTTTATTTGGATTATAATTATCCAATCACAAATAAAATTTTAAAAAATAATAAATTGCATTAATCATTATTATAAGCGATAAAATATTGTGTAATAACATCTAATTAAAAGAAGAATTAAATGAAGAATGTATTAATAAGATTATCGGATTTTCATTTCCCGCCTTTGTGGAATAAATTCGAATCCTTTTCGAAATACACATATCAAGTGTCCGGCAAAACTATTTGTACATATGTGTCTATAGAAGAAAATATTACGTGACTTACGTACAGATTATGACATTTCGTATACCAAGCGGAAACTTGAAACTATTTTACATTTTCGAAAAAAATTTTGTTTTGTAAAACATCTTTTGACAAAATTATATAAAATTCTGTACATATTATTAGAATTTTAGAATATAATTTTTATAATCGACATGAAATATTTTCTGAAATATATAATTTTTATAATTGATTTGATTTCATTATTTAGAAATATGTTATAATATAAATATAATTATTATATATAAATATATAAATAAGGACTCTCAACCTTAAAAATAAAATAAAAATTCAAATAAGGCTAATCACTGATGTAAAAATGAAGAGATAGGAGAAGCAGATAATACTCAGATATTGATGGTTATCTTCATTTATTACGTATCTTAATCAGCAGAAGAAAGCCTTTTATTATGAGATAGACGCCTAATATGAGATAGCGGAATAGACAATTAATTATTAGATCATGCCCGTAGTCATTGTAAAAAAAGATTTTAGAATTTGTATGTCTTCAAGTTCTTTCAATGAAATGAGCCTTTAAACATTAAATTGTTTATTACTTAATAAATAAATATTTGGCAATAAATTCTTCATGTAGTGATAGAGTTAGGTTGTACTAATGGAAAATATGGGATATGTTGAATTGCTTAATTACAGAAGTTAGATTTGATGTAAAACCGTAAGCGTGGAAATCGTAATATGAAATACCCAGAGTATTTCTAATATGAAATAATCCATGCTCCTAGAAAATCGTTGCTAAAGTATAAATATTATTGTACAATAAAAAGGATAACCGGAATGAACGGAATGAACGTCGAGTGCCTATTTCTGCAATGCTTGATTTCAACTTCTAGAAAACGAATTCTGGGTATAATGTATCGCATATTTATTTTTCGCGTACTCTGGCTATGTTTGTTTGTATTTAAAAATCATTAAATAAAGTTTTTTAGTTACAATATTGATATATTTTGCGTTTTATTATCTTTTTTTCGGAGCATTTCATATTAGGAGCACAATTTTTTGACTTTGCGATTTGTTCACTTTTTACATTTCTTTAATTTTCAAAAAAAAATGGAATTTGAATTAAATTTTATGTAACATTATCTTAAAACTTATTAAATTTTCATCAAAATGACCTATTATTTTTTTAAATTCTGCTCATAGAGCATTTACTCAAAATGAATTAGGTATCTCATAATAGGAGTCTTTCTATGTATATTATAATATGTAAAATGAAATAAAATAATAAATATTCTCTATTCTAACGACTACTACCTTGATCAAAAAGTTCCCAGAATTCATTTAGAAAATTCAAAATACAAGTTTTATTCATCAAAAGTGATATTGTCCCCTTCAAAATATTCCCCATCGACTGCAACGCACTTATGCCAGCACTTGATCCAGCTCTCGAAATATTTCTGAAACTCTATTGTTAGTGTAGCCATCAGAGTCGTCTTCGATTTTTCCATTACCTCCTTTCGGCTGTTAAAACGCGTTCCCCGTAATGGTTTTTTGACTCGATCGAACAGAAAAAAATCGCAGGGAGCCATATCAGATGAATTCGATGGCTGTTGGATGATATTCGTTTCGTTCTTGGTCAAAAACTCACGAATAATGATGGCAACGGTGCGTTATCATGATGCAAAATCCACGAGTTGTAAAAAATCGAAAATACGTGCAGAGGTAGATGTACTCAAGACGGCGTAACTTTTACAAATGTTAAGCTATGGTGATAAAATTTGGTGGGAATGTCAATGATAGATGTGACAATCTAACCAAAAAAAAAAAAACAGAACTCAAATCAGCTGACTCAGAGCATCTGGTGGTAATTCCGGAAACTTTTTGATCAAGGTATATCAATAAGAACTCTCAATAAAAATAAAATAAAAATTAAAAAAAATTCAAATAAGGCTAATGAGAGTCACTGTATATAAATGATTAATCTCAAACATTTGATTAAATAATAAAATTAAATTTTATTTTCTTTCAGAATTTTAATTTAATTGCATATATTTTTAATATTATAGTAGTGATTCTAAAAAAATTTTTACAGATTTTAATTACAAGTGACATAAGTTATTATCAGAAATATTACATTATTGGGAAATATTACACTTTGAAATCTTTGAAATTATTACTATTAAAATTTTTACAAACGAATGAACGAAAGAATATATGAACGTAAAGAATATATGAGAGAAAAAACATAAAAGCAGCTTTCTTGAGTATTCACCAACCATATGGAATAAATTCTCTTTTGAATCACAGACAAAGAATGGGTTTTTCAAGGAAAATACCAACAAGAAATATTTGCGGAGAAAAGTGTACTACTGTCTCTCGGGTTTTAGTCGCGACAGTAAACCTCAAGGAATGTGGCTTTTATCACTTCACAAAGCAACAGAAATCATTATAATAAAAAATTACGTTTGGGCTTTGTGCGACAACTGGTTGGAAAAGAGGAAAAAGTAAAATGTATGTAATTGGAATTATCGAAATTATACTACGTTGCACACAATTTTATTGTATCTTAAATCAAATGCAGAAATACTTCTTAATGTAGATAGTTCATTAGAGAATACGTTAACTCTTCTTTTTAATATAAATTTTTTATTAAATAATTATTTATTAAATAATTTACATTATAAATAATTATATTTATTAAATAATTATAAATTATGTATAATAAAAAATGATTATAAATAAGTAAATGATTGATTATATATAGGATGTAACTAAAAGTAAGGTAACAAACTTCGAGGACGAGCTCTCTATACAAAACGAAAAGTTTTTATGGACTACAAATCCATTGTTACTAAGATAAAACAAAAAATATTTGTAGGATCAATTGCATGGCTTCCATGATTATCCGATCTAAATCCTCTAGATTTTTAATTGCAAGAATATTTGAAGATCCTTATTTTATGATCCTTATTTTATGAAGTTCCAATCGCCAATGAAAATATTTGGCTACGCCAAAGCATTTTTTGATGTTTATAATACTATTTGCAATTGTCCTGGCTTCTTTGAAAGAGTGCGACAGTTCATGATCTTACGTGTCCAAGCATGTATTGAATCAAATGGGAGATACTTTGAACATTTATTATAATTAAAAATTGAAAATAAATCACATATTAAATAAAGTCAATATAATATATTCCTTTATTTCCCTTATTAATAAACATTTTGAATTGTAGCAGTGAATATGCGGATATATTATATATGAATTTTTTTTCATA